GCATAGGGTAGGCAGTTTTGCTACTGTGCAATTTTCTCCTCGGCTTACTTCTGTGTAAAAGACGACCGTCAAAATTTCCTCCAATGATTTTAGGAAAAAGTATCATCTTTTACATGGAAAAATACTGTTAATTCTGTTCTGGCATCAGCATATTTTACGTTGGAATATACCCTGCTTTTAGCTTCATACTTGGTTTTTTCTTTATCTTCTACAGTACTTCTACAGCATCTCTCTAGAAAGTAAAACACTTTTCAAACTTGTATGGATGCTTTTCCTTTAGATTTGCTCTTTCTGTAAATTATTATTTCAAAATAAAATAATTAAACTGAGGGGAAGATCCTGTAATTTAAGTGAGGTTTTAGAATGTGTTGTAAACATTGAGAGGTCTGTTCTATGTGTTTGTTCTTATAAGTGTACTGAATTCCTGGTATGTTTCTTAATGTTTCTTAATGACAAGCTAAAGCAAGCTGGCAGTAAAATAAAGAGTAAAAAATTCCCATATATCAATGTTTGTTGAAGTTGGCTGGTTAGATTTGTTTCTGTAAGGAAATGACCTTTGATATAGTACACATTTTCTCCAAGTAAAGGGAGTGGCTATCTGGTTACATCACAAGTCTTGATGCTGATAAGTAGGTTTGGTTACCAAAGTATTGACTTCTTTTTTTCCTAATGTGGAATAATGGAGCAAGAGTCTTCTTTGTTGGGTAAATTCAGTGGGGCTGCTTACAGAATTCTTGAAAAAGCAGATACCCTCCAGGTTTCCCTAAAATCAGAGCCTAATATAGAAGAGGGCAGGATTACTTGTCCTTCTGCTGACCCATGTGAAGAAAATCTTATCTTGTAAGTACTGTTACTGATAGTGAACATGCAGTTGTTCTCCTCTTTCTAAATGGCTGTTTTCTGTATAACTGAGATTCAGATTCACTTATGAGTATTTTGCTGTGACTGATAGGCAGCAGAGCTGGGAAGGCTTCCACTGGCTACAAGGGCAATTTAAACATATAATGCTGTAGTCATTTAACAAGAAATACTAGAGCAAGAAGTTGCTGATTAAGATGTGTTTCTGTAAGGAACTTGTGGCTCTCAAGATAATGTGTTTCCGTTTCTTTCATTTTTCACCATTGGTTATGCTAGTTGGGGCTGATGAGAGTTGTAATCTTGCAATATCTGGAGGCCCACAAGTTCTACCCTGTGCATGTTAACTACCATAACAGCACCACAGCTTGCACAATGTTAGTTGTGCATGTTGAAGTCTGCAAAGGGATACTGACCTTTGTTTTTAAAAAACCAGTCCATCAAAGGTTTTGCTTTTAAGAGGACAGTCCATCAGTGGGTCCCCCCCCCCCCCCTATCTAGTCCGATGGACTACTCTAGGCGGCCAATTGTGTTTGCTTGTCATGGTAGATGATCTATACTAGGAAATGGAGTGGATAGGATGATCTTGTTAATTCTCCTGGATCTCTCAGTGAAATTCATTACCATCAACTGTGGTATAATTTTGGACCACCTTGTAGGAATGAATATAAGGGGAACCAACTTCCCTTCCCTTTCTGGAGCACTGAGCAGGAGCACTGCCCTGCACACATGGGGTTCTGACTGTTACTGGAAGCAAATGGGTGGCTGGCTCGGCTGCATGGCCCCAGTGCAGTGCTGCGTGCCCACATGATGTAGAAGGAATGTTGGGGGGTAACTATCAACTACTTGTTTTTCAGCAGGGAAAAACACCTAGTTTTTGCCTGTTGAAAGGGAGGATCCTGAAAGTAGTGCTGGAAAATGACATTTACTTCCCTCTCACATGATTTGTAAGGGTCTACAGGACCCCATCTTGTCCCTTGTATTGTTCAGTGTCTGCATGAAACTGCTTTGTGAGACATTCCTAGATTTGGCAAATGGAGCCATTGTTATGTATATGATGCCTGCAATAAGAGGGCAACTGGGCATTTGATTATCAGCTTTAGAAATTGAAGAGACATGACCAAAGCAAGAATTGTCTCCTTTTCTTGCAGAGATACAAAAAATGAAAACAGATTTTGTTCTGTGATCACATTTTTTCAAAAGGTTCTAGAAAAAATGTGATCACAGAACAAAAGAAAACCAACAATTAAAGGGAAGTGAATTCCCGCACTAAAGAACAGTCCCTTGTGAATTTCTCAATACAGTATGCCCAAAGTTTTCCCAGAGATTAAGTTCTGTGTTGATGAGTGAAAGGTCAGTGTTTAAGAAATTGATGAGCAATTTCCTTTTATTTTAGTGTACCCTGTATCCTTATGCAATCCTAGACTTCATCAGAGTACTGGGTAGCACTCCAGGGTCATGGATCTGTTAGCCAGTGGGAGACATGGGTGGGACCCTCACTTCTATAGGTGTTTCACTGTGTGGGTTGACTAAATTTTTGTCAGCATAACTGTGTTTCCCCTTAGATTTAAGGTGACAAGAACTTTCTGAGATCAGAAAGGGTTATGCTTATTGGCCATTTGTGCTCCAAGCAAAAGGGTTAACTACTACAGTAACAGTAGTAGGATGAGGAACTCTAACGTCTGCTTGGACTGTGGTGTATCAGTGATTTTCTTCAATTCTATTGCATAGTTTTTGTTGTTGTTTCTTTGTCCCACAACACACCAGAATGGGATCTGGATATTTTAAGGACTACCTTCTTCCCTGTGCAGTATTTTCTTTGTTTGCTCTAGTCACCATGGGTGGTTTTATGCTAGATTTCTCAACGTTTGGTGATGAGATGGTTGTTATTTACCCACTCCTTTAGAGAGACTTTTCAGTGATGGCATCCACACATAAAGCCCCTCCAACAGAGATCTGTTACATTCTAAAATTCTGTTCTTTCAGATGTTGCCCTAAAACAGGATTGTTCCCAAAATAGTTTCTGTTTGATATGTGCGTAATACTGTTCCCTTATGGTTTTCTCATACTGTTTTTATTTGGACTTTAATTTTTTTCATATAATGTTCTTTTGAAGATGTTTGTTTTCTGAGCTGCTTTGCATCCACCTAGTAGGAAAAGCTTAGATAAAAACTTCTGGAACAGCCACACACATACTCACATACAGTGAAAGATAGAAGTAAGTTTCATTAAGTAAACTGGAATTTTCTTTCATGTGTATGTGTTTATGGAAGTGCAACATTTTTGGATCACGGCCTGAATTAGTTAACGAAAATATAACAATCTGAGAGGGGAGTGGCCTTTTTTCTCCACAGAAGAAGGTTTTGATATTCTTTTGTCACTTTCTCTGCTTATCCCCCCTTGTGTGATTTCTCTCTTGTATTAATGTGTGAGTGTACAGTGGGGTCTCGACTTACGAACGACCCGACTTGCGAACAATTCGAGTTACGAACCTGCCCTATAGGGAAAGTAAGGACTCGACATGCGAACTTCCCTCGAGTTACGAACAGGGAAAAAAGTCCCCCCTCCCTCCCCTTAGAGGCTTCTGGAGGGGGAAAAAGGGTCAGAAACTTAAAAATAAATACTGTACTGTTAAATAAAGTCACTTACCAGGCCTTGGTAGCCCTCAAACCACAGGAAAAAGAGCAGGAAAGAGCTAAAAGCCGACACCCAGAAAGAGCCTGGCAGCCATTTTGTGGTTTTCCCGCTCCTCTCCCCGCCTAACAGCTGATCAGCTGGCTTTGAGCAGGCTTCCGGAGGCTTGCTCAGCACCTAAAAAGCCTGCCTGAGTGCCTTTGTGCTGAAAAAATCAGCACAACATGCTTTAAAACATTATTTAAAATTGGCTTCGTTTAAAAAAAAAAAGAGTTCTAAAGTGCTGCCTTTAGTGTTCCCTGCCTTCCCTGAACCTAAGGGGGAAAAAGAAAGAAAATATCCCCCTCTAGTGGCAGAAGGCAGAATAGCAGCTTCCCATTAGTTTCTATGGACAGAAAAGAGCAGATACGGATTAAATGGTTTTCAATGCATTCCTATGGGAAATGCAGATTCGACTTAAGAACTTTTCGACTTGAGAACCACCTTCCAATACGGATTAAGTTCTTAAGTCGAGACCCCACTGTACATTGATAAGCCTTTCCGTATTCATTCACCTGAAGAGCAGGAAGTGCCTTCAAACAAAGTACTCCTCAAATACTGTACTGTTGTGTGTAAACTGCTACAATTTTAGCTCAGTAACTTGAATGATTACCACAGTGAGATGATTCATCCTCTCTTTAATTTTCTTAAGAAACCTTGGCCAAAATCCTGTTGCTTAGTATAGTAAATTGCACACTGGATGAGGATGTGGTGAGCCAACTCCTCTATAAGTTTCACTGATTCAAATGGGTCTGCTCTACCCTGTTTCCCTGCAAATAAGACCTAACTTGAAAATAAGCCCAAGTACGATTTTTCAGGATGCTTGTAATATAAGCCCTACCCCAAAAATAAGCCCTAGTTACAGTAAGTGAAACCCCACCCTCCACCATTGTGCAGCAACCAGAAGATGACATGAATGTAAAATAAAACATCCCCTGAAAATAAGCCTTAATGTGTTTTTTGGAGCAAAAATTAATATAAGACCCTGTCTTATTTTCAGGGAAACTCAGTCGTTGTGACTTACTTTAGTATGAAGTTAGAGTTGGCCCATTTGAATCAATAGAACTTAAGGAGGAGTAGACTCAGTAAATCACCTTTGACTCAGTGGACCAACTCAAATGCAGTTTATCACATTAAGCAACAAAAATTGGCCATTGTAATCAAGTCAGTTTTCACCTGGATACATGTTAAGCTACAGTTAAGTCTCCAACACAAACATATTTTGGTGTACTGTATTGTTACTTGTGCTGAGTTCGCATAATCATATTCTGTTAAATGATGGTATTCAGAAAGTGAGCATGGTTGAAATGTGTAATGCTTATTTACAACACCTGCAATGATTAGATTTCAATATTAGTTTGTCACTAAATTACTCTTTTTAAAAGTTAAGGGGTCATGTTGGGGCACTCAGTAGTTCATGATATTGTTCTTATACAAATTATTTACAATATAGTTGTTTCTTCCTTTTATAGAAATGAAGATCTCAAGCAAATGTTGGAAAGCAACAAAGATTCTGCCAAACTAGAGGCAATGAAGAGGATTGTTGGGGTATGTTAATTTTTAAAAATTAATGATGACGACTCTGAATCTGTTTTTATTTTACATTCTGAATATACTCAAGCTTCCAAGGTTTACACTGAAAGTAGTAGTTTTTCAAAAGTTAGCTTGAGAATGTCTTGCTTATTATTGTATCAGTGTTACCGTGTTTCCCCTAAAGTAAGACAGGCTCTTATATTCATTTTTGCTCCAAAAATGCATTAGGGCTTTTTTTCAGGGGATATTTTTATTTTTTTCATGTACAACAATCTACATTTATTCAAATACAGTCAAGTCATCTTCTTCTGGTTGCTGCACCATGGTGGAAGGTGGGGTTTCACTTAACTGAGGCTTGTTTTAGGGCTTATATTACGAGCATCCTGAAAAATCATACTAGGGCTTATTTTCCGGTTAGGTCTTATATTCGGAGAAACAGGGTAATTCCTTAAAATTGCTAAATATGTGTTCTGTATGCTTTACAGAGACAATATATTTCACACAATGGATATATTGGTCAAGAAGCAAGTAGGAGATTGGATGGGCATATGCCTCTGGAGCCTGATACTCTGAATGCTTAGCACAATTAGAATGTTTCCTGATTATTCTCCTTTTGTGATTGTATGGGACTCTTGTCCTCCTTTTTTTGGGTGTTGGGGGTAGACTAGAATGGGTAAAGGCAGAAAAAATCAGATGGACTGAGTTCTGTGCATTGAATGCGAATAAATTTTCAGATCCTTGATCTCACATTTAAATCTAGCTTTAGAAACATAATGTTCTTGCATCTGCCACCAAGAGTGATCTTTGTGCTATCAAGCCTTATCTCTGTTCTTGTTCAAATCTGTTTGTGGTGCTGCCTCAGCTGCCAGAACTACAGTGCTAGAATTAGTGTTGACACTGCAGTCAAAACTGTCACATGTAGCCCTCGTCCCCTGGTAGAACCTCATTCCTGCAACTTGTCTTTTGCTTTCTTTTTCTCTTATCCCCACTCATTTTCTTTCTCCTAGATTTTCTACTCCTATAAAGAGCATCATAGAAGATACTGTACTCTAACTGGTGCTAAAATCTAATAGTGGTAAATGTGGTGCCAGCTGCTAAATGTTGGCTGCCACTCTGGTAATGGTGCAGTTGATCCCAGAGTGTCAAATATAGATACCTCAGGAAGCTGCCCACACCATTGTACAGATACACTATTTTGCCAATACAGTGGTGCCTCGCTTTAAGAGCGCTCCGTTTGACGACGAAATCGCTTGACGTTGAAGATTTTGCGATCGCAAAAGCGATCGTAAAACGATGTTCCCTATGGGGGAATTTCGCTTTGCGATGATCGGTTCCCTGCTTCGGGAACCGATTCTTCGCAAAACAACGGTTTCCCAACAGCTGATCGGTGGTTTCAAAATGAATGCCGGGTAAACAAAATGCTCCCCCGCTGTTTTCTGGGACGGATTCCTCGCAAGACAGGCAGCGAAGATGGCCACGCTATGGAGGATCTTCGCTGGATGGTGAGTTTGAAGCCCATAGGAATGCATTAATTGGGTTTTAATGCGTTTCTAGGCGCTTTTTAATACCGCATTACGATGTTTTTGTTCGACAGCGATTTTGCTGGAATGAATTAACGTCGTCATGCGAGGCACCACTGTAGTATCATCCCTTGCTTTGGCTTAGTTTTAGACACATAATGAGAAAGTCACACTTTGTTTTGAAAGTATAACATTCATTTAATTTCAGTCCTTTCTGTTTTTGGTGTGTTTGTATGTACAATTTAAATCTGTTTCATTCAAATCAACATGTCTTGCTGGATCCTGAAGCATCAAGTGTGAGTTCATGTGTATAAAGAAACTAGTGGAGAAAAAGCTTGTTGTAGTAGTGAGGGTTTATAGCTTTATAATGGGACAAAGTTAAAGCTAAGCTACCAGTAAAAATTCTGCACTGAAATCCCAACAGCTAGGTTAAGTGGCTGTGCTGCAGCTTGTGAAAGGCAATCTGTGAATGCTCTGACTACGTGGTAGCTGACATTATGCCATGTTGTTAATTGCAACAAGTTAGCAAAGAAATGTGTGTACACTCAAAAGCATTACTTTTCCCTCTGTGGACTGGTACTTTTAACACATGAGCTGTTTAAAGCTTCTAAATTGAAATGATATCTTCGTCTTTGAAAGACCCATTATATTCTCTTGGGCTAATGAGCCATGAACAAAGAAGGATTTACACTGATCATTATTACTTAATGAGACAAAATACACTTTTAAAAGATCCTAAATACATATTTACATGGTACACTGCAGCTATTATGGTGGTCAGTTAAATAGTGCAAGATACACATGTGAATTTCCATGGTACATTTTAAATTTAGTGATGTTCTGAATATCCAGTATTGTAATAATAGTGAGAAGCATGCCTGAATCCCCCCCCCCACATTATAGTACAGTACTGAATTCAACAACATAATAGAATCAGTAGTAGCAATTTGTCATCTCAGCAAGTAGTTTGTTTTTAAACCTCAAATTTCCTTAAATCAGAAAAACAAAGTATTTGGGCATGTTAAAAACCAAAAGTTTTTGTTTGTCATAAGCTTTCATGGACTTCATCCCATATCTTCAAATAAATTAAGACAGATATGTTAAATATGGATAGTTGCCTAGGTATCTGAGGAACGTTCCACAGTAGACTTAGTTTTCCCATTGCTTTTCAGGGTGATAATCTGAAAAGGACACAGACTGTGACCAGCAGTTTTGAGTGGAAAATCAATATTGTTCTGTTTGACTTTATTTCTGTGAATATTACATATCTGCCCAATGGTTCTGTAAAGTTTCTGTAAATTTCAAGAAACTGTTGTACAAAATCATACAATATCACATTTCTTTAGCATGTCTCCAGTGTTTCAGCATACTTAGTGGCTTAAATAATTTGAAAATTGAAATACCATAGTAATGGCATAGTGTCTGTGATGATTTGATTTTTCTTGAAAATAGTGTGTTATAATAAAGATATGTTTCATTCTGTTTTAAGATGATTGCCAGAGGAAAAAATGCATCGGAATTGTTTCCTGCTGTAGTGAAGAATGTAGCAAGTAAAAATATTGAGGTATGATGCAAATACGGAATTGTTGGCATAGTTATTTGTAAATACAATTTTTAAATCTTCCGGCTCTATCCCTTGAAATTGCTTTTCATCAGAGTTCATTACAGTTTAATTCCAGTTAGACACTTAAAGAAATAGTGAAGTGTGCTGAGATAGAAGGCTTCATATGATGAGATATTGTTGAAAATGTTTGTAAATTAGAAGGTGGAGAAACACATTAGCTGAGTAAACAGTATGTGGAATATGAACTGAACTTCTTTCTAAGGTGGACAGTTTTATCCTAAGAATATGAACATAAATAGTCTCTTGTGGTGCTGAACTAGAAGAAGACTTTGGTCTGATGGGTGGATTTTTATGGCAGATCCCATGTTTCCACTTGCTTATATGGAGCAATAGACCATTGTTTTATATTCATTTTAGGTCAAGCCAAGTGAATAATCCATTATGAGTCATCCTCTCTTCTAGTGTACCACCCTGAACACACCCAATCTCTTCTGATTTCAGAAGCTTAGCAGGGTTGTGTGTATGTTGTTCTTGGGTGGGAGACCCAGTAGGGAATATCAGTTATCTTTAGGTAGGACTAGAGAAGAATCCTGTCTGAAACCATAGATAGGCACTGCCAGTCAGATTTGACAATACTAGGCTGAGCATCTGACTCAGTATAAACTAGCTGCGTGTGTTCCTGTGACTTCAGGCAAATCAAGTACTCTTCACATAGATAGGGATCACATATTTTATGTAGTACTGAGCTGTGAAGATACCTAAAACACTAAGCCCAATATTTTAGACCACTTCTGAATCCCTGTTCGTGTGCTTCTGGAATTTTAAAACATACATGCAGTTTCTCAGCTGGGTTGTCAGTTTTATACTAGCATATGTAGAAACATGAATCCTGCCCTTGAAGCTGGCCCTACTGCTATGCATTGTAAAAGTCTAAATCGCAAAAACATGATAATATTTTTAAAGGGGGTAAAGATGGTTAAAACTGCAAGGAGGAGAAAAATGTAAAAGGTCCTTAGTTCTAGTTCATATGATCTGGGGAGGGTGGCAGGGAATGCTAATCAAATTTACAGATGACACAAAATTGGGTGGAATAGCTAATATTTTGGAAAAAAGAAACCAAATTCAAAATGATCTTGATAGGATGGAGCACTGGGCTGAAAACAGCAGAATGAAATTTTAACAGGGATTAGTGCAAAGTACTGCATCTCAGAAAAAGAAACCAAGGTCACAGTTACAAGATGGGGGATACCTGGCACAGCAATACTGCAAGCTAGAACCATCTTGGAGACGTCGTAGATCACAAGCTGAACATCAGCCAACAGTTTGATGTGGCTACAAAAAAGGCAAATGCTATTTTAGGCTGCATTAACAGAAGTATAGTCTCCACATCTCACGAGGTACTGGTTCCCCTCTATTCAGCACTGCTTAGGCCTCATCTTAAGTATTGTGCCCAGTTGTTGACACCATACTTCAAGAAGGATGCTGACAAATTGGAGCAAGTTCAGAGGAGGGGAACAAGGATGATCAGAGGGTTGGAAACCAAGCTCTATGAGGAAAGATTGAAAGAACTGGCCATGTTTATTCTTGAGAAAAGAAAACTTGAGGAGATATATGATCACACTTTTCAAATACATGAGAGGCTGTCATTCAGAGGAGGGGCAGGATCATCCCAGAGTGCAGGACATGCAACAGTGGGCTCAAGTTACAGGAAGCTGGATTTCAGCTGAATATTAGAAAAAGCTTCCTATTAGAGCAGTACAACAGTGGAACCACTTACCTTGAGAAGTGGTGAGCACTCCAACACTGGAGACGTTCAAGAAAAATTTAGACAAACATCTGGCAGATATCCTTTGATTTGTATTCCTGCATTGAGCAGGGGGTTGAACTCGGTGGCTTTATAGGCCTCTTCCAACTTCATGATTCTGGGATACAAGAGACCTGGGTTCAATTTCCCAGCTGCGCCAAGGAAATTCACTACGTGGTGGAACCATTTTTTAAATACTACACTTACCTTGAAAACCTTATTAGGGTCTCTATAAATCAGTTTGGACTTGACGGTACATAACAGCAGTCTTAGTCCTGTCTTCTCAACCTATATCCAAATTTATCTAAGTTTAACTCTATCTCTCTCCCTGTCTTTCTCTCCTGAATATCTACTTATTCTTACATATATTCTACCCTTCAGGACTAGGGAAGACAGCCAGTGAAAATAGGATTCTATAGAAGCATTTTCCTTTGCCCTTAATAGTCATAACACTCTTACCTGGCACTCATCCACCATTCTTATGTCACTGAACCCATCCATTGTAGCAAGCAAACAATCAGTGTTACTGTTGTCATTGTTATCTTCATTTTTATGCCATTCTTTTGTGCAAAAACACAGAATATTTCAAAGTTTGAACAAACATTACCTGCATAACAGACGTAACAGTGAAATAGTTTGTATAAATGTTAAAAATGTAAATTGAAATCACTAACAAGCAAAAAGTCCACTAATTTAATTCTTTATATATTACCACATAATACTTCATCATGTAAGTCATGAAACAGCAATTTAATAACATCCGGAGGCTTGCTGGGACACATTTGCCTTATATTCCCTCCTGAATCCCTGCAGGGATGTCATACCTCACAGGGACTCAGGAAAAGAGTCCCTGTCAAAGCATAGTGACACCAACACAAAAAAGTATTTTCCTGACATATTAAGCCAAAGAACTCTAACAGTTGGTGCCTTTGGAAGGGCAGTTCCAGATGTCCTCAGTTGGCTCAAAGGCTCATATAGGTAGGGGCAGTCTGGTAATTATTGCATTATTTACAAACAAATTGACAGATAGGCACCAGAATCATCACAAGGATATTTTTGTGTGCAAGGCCATTCCAACATGCAGTCTGATCTGGTGCATCAGCTAAATCATGTGAAGCTGCTGATTATATGTGCTGGCTTGGGATTTTCGTGGCATTTTGTAGGCTTTGGACTTCCTATAGTTTAAGAAGACACAACACCTAAAACTGATTGGGACCTATAGCAACTTAAATATGTTTTTGACAGATGAGTTAGATCCTCTAGGTATGCCCTAATTGGTAGGAAGCCTCCTTGAGTCTAATTTTTTGGGGGAAGAAAGCTAAGATACCAACCTAATTTTTAAAAAATGCTGCTTGGTTTAGTTACATATTTGTCTTTCTTTTAGATATGCTTCTCAGATACCCCCATCCTGCATGCAGGACCAGACAGACTCAGCTTCAGTGGTAGAACTGCTTCATATACATGCCACAATCTAGGGCATAGTTTACTGGTGGTTAAACTGACATTTTGGCGATTTGTCTAGTAGCTCCATTTCTGGGGCAACATAATATGAAGATAAAAATTTGAACATGCTTCCTCTATATATACTATGGAGTATGTGTTAGAATTGCTTATAGGACTGGATTCATTTGCTAGGGATGTGATAGTACTGGGAAGGATTTCAAAAGTAGTGAAGGACATTTTGTTATGAAGTCTTGCAAATTTCATTTCATAAGAGAACATTGCCCGGGCTTTGCTATATGCCTTGAGTCGAAAGATGCAGAAAAGTGACCTAGAAAGCCATTGGTGGGCTAGAACAGAAATAATCAAAGGTTTAGTCAATAACTCATGAAGTTTGATATACTTGTATTGATAAATTAATTAAACAGATCTGCTTCTGTTCCTCAACTCTTAATGTGGCTCTGTTATTATTAGTTTTAAAAGGAGGAGTGCTGTAACATTGAGTGAAGGTAAATGATAAAAGAATGGTGCAGTCACGAAACTGAAGTACTCCTGCCTCTACTCTCAGAGTGGTTTCAGAGAAAGGAGGCTTTCTCTGCACACCTGCAGTTATTCTCTATATAGGCTTCTTGTTGTCAATGTTGATTGCTGCTTGTTCATAGTAGAACAACAAATAATTTACTGCCTCGTAACCTTCTGTGACTTAATATCTTGCTTTTTGCCAGAGTGGGCAGAAAAATCATTCTTCAGATAGTGACAATAATTATAGCACAGCTGTAGTTAAAGGGTTTTCAGAATTTTTGTTTTAAGCCCTTAGGTCAGTCAGAATGTTTTTTTTTTGTCTGTGCTTAATTTAACACGAAGATCTTGTTAAGAATTTAACAATAAAACATAATTCCTTAAAGACAAAGTTAATAAGACATTATTGCAGTGTTAGGAAGCTGCAAGCCGGAATGTAGTTGAAGAAATATGCCAGTGTAAATCCATCGACATAAATTTCTGTGTGAATCATTGCTAGTTAAGAAGTCAGTACTGTATAGATATTAGTTGTCCTGTGATTTCATGCAAGTGGTGTGCAACACCAAATACCTATGCCATCTTTTTAACCAGTAGTAATTTGCTGGTAAGATTTATGCCAATGGACTTAATGTCAGTGTATATCTGTTGTCCAAGGGATCATGAAATTATCATTTATCATGATACTACCTTTTTAGAAATACACCGGCTACAGATAGCTTGGAATGCAAAATTCTTCATGTACAAATGTTTAAAAACAACTTCTGAATATTGAAATGTAAATGAGCCTTCTTTTTCAGATTAAAAAACTTGTATACGTTTACTTGATGCGTTATGCAGAGGAACAACAGGACCTGGCACTGTTATCAATTAGCACCTTTCAACGTGCTCTGAAAGTGAGTAAATAGCATCATCAGTGATTCCTGTGAAGTTGTTCACCATTACAAAAATGTAAATCACCTTTAGGGAAAAAACACATATCTGACATCTAATTGTCATTAGCCAGAATCCTTTTTGATTTTACCACAGAGTTAATGATAATCACGCAGGCCATTTTGGCATTTTGCAGCCTCTACATCAACTGACCATGCACACACTTAGGACATGAACAAATGTGAGAGATATCCTGCAGTGTAACATGGACCATTACTGTGATTGCCCTCCTGTACCAATCAGTTTCTGGCCATCATATCTTGGAATTGTGGTAGCCTGTTTGACTAACATAATACAGTGGGGTCTCGACTTACGAACGGCTCGACATACGAACGGTTCGACTTACAAACCGCTCTCATAGGAATACATGGACTCGACTTACGAACTTAGATTCGAGTTACGAACTCTCTTTTTTTCCTTTTTTTTAATGCTAAGTCATCTTAGGTTAAAAGGAAAAAAGAAAAATATCCCCCTCTAGTGGCAGAAGGCGGAATAGCAGCTTCCCATTAGTTTCTATGGACGAAAAGAGCAGATACGGATTAAATGGTTTTCAATGCATTCCTATGGGAAATGCAGATTCGACTTAAGAACTTTTCGACCAGAGAACTGCCTTCCAATACGGATTAAGTTCGTAAGTCGAGACCCCACTGTACTTAATAACTGTTTCATTGGGTTGGTCAAAGCAAGAGTGTTGAGCGCTTGACTTTAAAAATGTTGTCTTATTTTTGTGTGAGGAAAAAAGAACTAATTGTTGTAACTGCACAGGGCCTTTAAAAATGGAGATAATATTTTTGCCTCTGTCAGTTCAGTTTTACAGTAATGTCACTGATGGTTTATCATCCTGGGTTGACTAAGTAACATGCCACAATATAGTATAGTGTCTGTATGCATCTGTTTCAACTGTAGTTAATCCATCTGGAATTTTTGTTTTCACATACTGTACTTGTGTATGTAGTTTGGGTCATTAAGTTGCTTCTGATTTAAGGCAACCTTATGAATTAATGATCTCTAAAAGGTCCTACCATTAACAGGCCTGCTCTCAGAAAATATGGCTTCATTTATTGTGTCAATCTATCTCCTGTTCTGTCTCCTTTTTTTCCTACTGCCTTCAACTGTTTCTAGCATTATTGCCTTTTCCAGTTAAATTTTGTCTCCTCATGTGATAGCCTCAGTTTAGTCATGTAACTTACAGTGAGAGTTTTATTTGATCTGGAAGTGGCTTATTAGTATTTTTGGCAGTCCATAGCATTTGTAAAACTCCTTCAGCACCACATTTCAAATGATTTGATAGTTTTCTTGTCAGCTTCCTTCATTGCCTAACTTTTCCATGTCTTTAGTACCAAATGTTCTAACGATTCAACCATGCTGCTTTTGGAGTAATGCTATTCAATGTCTAGGTAGCTGGACCTGGATTCTGAATGTTACCTTGCTAGTTTCTCTTCTTACCTTGGACATATTTGTGTTGGCAAATTAAGTCTTGTTGTCTTCATTTGAAAAAGAGCTGATAATTATTTCCTTCATAGGAAAATTGGAGTTGCGATAAAAGATTGTTAAGTATTTGCATTAGTACGTAGTAGCGCACTGGAGGTGCTATTTTTGTAACAGATACTGAATTAGAAAATATTCTTATTGTCAGATGTTCTTGGTTATAATTTAATACTCAGAGAAATTAGCACTGTTTATACATTGTAGACATTATAATATGATGAACATATTCTAAACATACCATAGCATACTTAATACAAACATGAATTTCACTATCTAGCTAAACATTTCCTAACTTAGTGCCCTTTTTTAGTTTTGTTAGTATAAAATACCCATAATTCCTAGCTAGTAGACTGACACATTTGGAGGGCATTACATTGGTTAAGACAGATCTTAGATAATTAGCTGACCTTCCATTCTCTCTAAAGGAGGATTTTATGTACTTCAAAGCTTTTGCACTTCTTTTATGTGTGCTGTTAGATATAGATTATCTGTAGCTGAGTAGTTAGATTGTCCTTTTTTAGTTCTTTTCCCCTGAGAGAAAGTATGTCACAAACTAATAAGTGGGGTATACATTTGGAAAGTATGTAAATGTGCTTTCTTTAACACATGTAACACATTTTTCTGAAAATTACTACTCTTTTTTTCCTTCTAGGATCCTAATCAGTTAATCCGTGCAAGTGCTTTGAGAGTTTTATCTAGTATCAGAGTTCCAATTATTGTTCCAATTATGATGCTTGCTATCAAAGAAGCATCAGCTGATTTATCACCTTATGTTAGAAAAAATGCCGCCCATGCAATCCAAAAGCTTTACAGGTATGTTCGCTCCAGCTATAAATATGGAAGAGGTGTATTTAATGCTCAGTAGAGTGTGTTATAATGAAGTTTAGCTATAGCGAATAATAACAGCTTTCTGCTAATGGATATAAAGTTAGCAAAATGACATTGACTAAAAGGTCTGTGTGAACATACCCTGTTTCCCCGAAAAAAAAGACCTAACCTGAAAATAAGCCCTAGTATGATTTTTCAGGATGCTCATTATATAAGTCCTACCCAAAAAATAAGCCCTAGTTAAGTGAAACCCCACCCTCCACCATTGTGCAGCAACCAGAAGATATGACTGTAAAATAAAACATCCCCTGAAAATAAGCCCTAATGTGTTTTGGAGCAAAAATTCATATAAGATCCTGTCTTATTTTCGGGGAAACACGGTAGTTGGAAAGCAGTCGAAACTATATGTGAAAGGTTGTGTGAATTTGATCAGTTATTTCACTAGGCAGTTTAAATAAAATTAGTTTTAGTTATTTCTATCTCATACTTTCTTTGTAGGCAGTAAACCTTCCCAGTTTAGTTCTCTCCAGATGTGCTGTGTACAATCTTAGCCCATAAGCCAGTGTCTTAGCTAGTGAAGGATGATTAACATGTATTTCATCAAATCTGGAGGACAGCAGCTTCAGTAAGACTAGTATCTCTTGAGCAAAGCAAAGAAATCAGATTGGATCCAAACTTAGTCATACTCATAGTAATTACTTATGCCTCTTTTAAGTAGTCTGTCTCTTTAGCATTTTCATATGGGAATGCATGCTTGGTACAAAATTTGTGGAATATCTTAAAACCAAATAATCTGGTTCTTTTTGTTCAATTTTTAGCCTTGATCCCGAGCAAAAAGAATTGTTAATCGAAGTGATAGAGAAGCTTCTGAAAGATAAGAGCACAGTAAGTAATCCAGATATAGCTACATTATGATATCATCAGAACTGTAATATTTTATGGCCAAAATCATTGTGTTCTTTTGTGTGTGTGATAGTGTAGTTGCAGAATATGTGAAGGCTAAATGCAGATAAGAAACAAAGTGCCAATTTATATCTAGTTGTATGCTCAGTTATGCATCCCAACTTCTGTGATTGCACTACTGTGCATGGAAACAGCCCAGTGGGAGCTTTGCCTGTGTAGTTTTGTAAGTCCTATTTAATATTCAATCTGAACAGATAATAGCTGGGCAGGATAGGCTTTATATGTAGCATTTGTGATTCTGTGGAGTGAAAATACTGTTGATTTACTGAAAAACAAAAACAACCCCCCTTCAGATTGACATTGTGGGTACATGACTCTTTTGTACTATATAGTTATTTCTTATGATTTCTAATCTGACTCATCAAAAAAGAATGAGAGCAAGAAATGATTCAAGTTATAAAGTATTCTGAATCTGCACGCCTCTTCTGGATCACAAGATTTACCATTACAAGAATTACAACATCTCTTTTATATTGTCCAGGCTAAATCTGCAGATAATACTGAGATGGTCCATTGTTCATATTTGTGCATGGTCAAGAGATCTCTGTTGAGATTGCACCAGATACCTCAGTCATGAGATTCTCGGCCAGTGAAGGCTTTATTTGCTATCTACAACATGACAGATTGTTTGGTTCACTTGTTCCAGTAGCTGGATTGACATATTCCATGTCAAGTGTGGCTTTCAAATAGCATTAAGTAGCAGTTTCATGAGTAAAGTATGCTCTTTGTTAATACACCTTTGTTGGACTTTGATAAAAATGCCCTCAGGTAGTGTTTCATTGTGAAGATCTAGACGAAAATAAGGAATGATTTTAGACTGAAAATAAACCGCTGGTCCTGCCAGTTCCATTTGATAGGCTATTGCATTTTGACTTCCGTGAACCTCAAATAGAAGCAAAGTGCTATTGTTTCACTAAAGGTGTGATAGAAAACAGGATATCTCACTGTTTATTTGATGGTAGATTCTGGGTTCATCGATGCTCGAAGGGCTTTTGAGGTCTCCAGCTGTGGATGTAAATACATGTTTCTTCAAAAACAAATAGAGTGTCCATGTGCCTATCAAGACTAGACAGGATTATCTGTAGCAGCTGACTCTTGGGAGGCCAAATAATTTGCTTGTTAAAAATGAGCTTAAGAATTGGTGATGGCTTTGTGATGAGATTACTGATGTGTTCTAAACTGCCTTTGGGAGAATACAGCAAAATAAGAGAATAGAGCAAAGCATTGTTTAACATATTTAATAGATATGAACTCAAAGTAATGTGTGTTGTTCAGAGTGCAAACGTGTTAGTAACCTGGTTTTCCAAAATTATTGATACAGTGCTGGTAAAGGATTTACTGTTGTGGGGGGAAAATAACTGAATTTGTGCACACACTATATTGTGATAGATCTATTATCCAGCTATTAGAAGATAAATGACTGATCTTTACCAGCTTCCATGCTTCCAGAAAATTGAAATAAGACAGGGAATATCATTTGGGCTGTATGATTAGGGCAGGTGGGATGGCCATTAATATAAGAGAAAGAAATGTTGGCAGCACAGGCCAACTTGCACTATATTATCAATCAAACCTCCATACACTTCTTATGATGACCCAGCACTCTCAGGTTTTTGCCGCGTTAATTAGAATTCATGACAAAATAGATGCAAGGAAACGTTCTGTACCCTTCATAATTTTATAGAAAATTTATTGTTATTAGAGGAACCATTTGCTTAGTGTGATTTTTTTCATTACCAGCTTGTCAACTAGCATAGATAATCTGGAGAAAATATGAACTCCATAGATTGGGTGTCACTTTTGTTGATGGTTCATGTAGTTTACCTTGGAGCGCAGCTAATGGCTGAAGTTCATAGCAACAGCACAGGAAAACGTGGCAACCAGTGAAAGACAAATGAACCATGTTTATTGCTTTAATATAAAAAATACATAAATAGAAAACTATATTTGAATTTGATGAGCTCATTGCTAGTTTTCCAGGAATGATTTATTTTCTCTTGTACAAAAAAGCTACTGTTTAATTCTCATCTCACTATGTCAGTGACACCGTTTTGTAAACTGTTTTATTTTTTATTTTACATTCTGATTGGATCATTTTATTTTAATTCTCAGTGTTTTTATGGAATATTGAACATTTAATAAACTAACATCATCAGCTGTTTCTTAGATATTTAGATATGGAAAAGGTCCTATTATAGCAAAAAATGCTAGGGAGTTTGAGAGATGTTCCTTCCTTATTTCCACATCTACAAGGAAATCTAAAATTATAATTACACAATTTATAGCTTGATTATCCACTTGAAGTAACTTATTGATGATATCCTTGCAGAGAATGTATGCATGAAGAACGCCTGTAAACTTTATAACTTTCTGTTACAACTGGATTCTGAAAATAGATTCTATTTCTATATTAAAATTTAAGCTTGTAAATAAATGTTGCCCCTCGTTTGGTTAATTTATTTTATTGGCAAAATATCTTCCGTAGTGTGTGGATAAAACAGTATCTTCCTGTGCAAACTTCTAGATGTCTGCTCAGGATGTCACTGAGTTTTCCTAGCAATGTGTGTGTGGATTGTAGCTTTAAGTTGCTGCTTGATAGTTCAGTGGTTTCAGTATCTGGTTGGGGAGCCAAAGCCTGGGAGTACTATTCCCAAGGGCTGGACTGGGATCCATAAGATTCTTTCCAGCACTGCATTTCTAAAATGATGAATGTTAAGATGATTATAGCATTCCTAAAAACATTGATTTTGGTTTAACTGGTAGTTATGTATTAAAATGCAACACTGCCATGTCTTCTAACTGAGCCTTAATTTTTAAGTAATACAAAATTTAAGTGATTTATCTGCAGGTGGGGTTTTAATAACCGTTCTCCTTCTTAATGCTTTTTGGAGAAGTAACACTCATAGCTAAAACAGTTAAAGAATTATGTTGCCTTTCATACCAATGATGGTACTAGACTTTGAAAAAGGAAAGTTTTTGGAGGTATGTACAATTCATAGTTTGTTATTTCAAATGACTGTTGAAATTTTAAATGCATGCTTTCATGTATGCTGTGGTTATCCTGATAGTTAACTAACTGGTAACATTGATAACTAAGCTAAGAAGTATTAATAACAGATGTAGATAGAGGGAAAAGATAACACAGATGACAATAATAGAAATGCTTTTTCCTACATATGATGTGATAGAAAATAACTGTAAGCGTAATGCATTTTCTTTAGTGCTTTACAAATAATCAATTCTCTTCTTCATGGAATGAGTTGTATATATGCTGGGACCAGCAGGTACCAGTATATAGCAGGGCTGAAGACAATAAATGCGATGTCACGTTTATAGTTATTGGTAATTTATAAAATCCCCACAGGACTTGAAAGTTGTTTTGCATAATAGCACAACTATATTCTGAGCTGTTTTCTTTCAGTTGTGATGGTGGGTGCATACTAATAAACCAAATGTCAACCAAAACGGAAAAACTCTTTAACATATGAAAATCATTGTATTTAGTATTTTTCCAAAAGTGCCATTTCAGTAAATTGTGTTTCTATTTAATTGCTTACTTTAAATCATTGGGGAAATTTTAGAGGTTGAAATGCAGATCTCCAGTGCTCCGCTAGAATGTGACATTAATTTGCTACTAGAAACTAGCCTCAGAAACTTCCTTAACTGCATACAAATCGGTTGCTTCATAGAGAAACCTCATTAGAGTACCCATTTTGCATTGCATGTGATTCCAAACAAAATAACATTTAATTAAATCAGTTGAAAAAGAGTAATAGGTAATCCATAGTGATCATGACTAGTATCCTGGTGAATTTACTATACATGGAATGGCAGTTTTTCCAGAAGTTTTTGCCTTTTTGCAAGTTATCTAGCATGCAGCATATTGTGCCCTGATTTTGTCAATGAGTGTGTTATAGACACAGCACAAATAGTGGAGACCACTTGCACAATTGCCATGACACAGATGGTAAATCCAGCAACATACTGGCCTATGTCATATTTGCAAATGAAAGATTGCAGGGACAACTGCATGTATAGTATTTTAGTAGTTCTTACATGCTTGATGGATATAATATGCTGAAAGACTCTGAACAAACAAAAGTCAGTACAGCAGCAAAATAAAATCAAAAGGTTTTGAAATATTGAGGAGTCAGGTTTGTTCCTGCTTGAAATAAATTGCAGGAAAAAATGTCTTCAGCAGTCTTGTGTTTAACAATATTTTCTACCATGCAGTGTTGCATACAATCCATTGCCATGAAAAATATTACAAACCATCTGTAACACTCTTATACTAAAAAATCACTCTTACACTGAAAACCACCTTCCTAGGTTTCTTTCATTACTTTATCAACAAGCAGAGCAAAGTCCACAGGTGTATGTATTATTCAAATATTAGTTTTATTCAAGGTGTCAGTGTCAAAAGTATGACACTTGAACAATGAGTTCTGAGTGCTATAAACTTTATAACACTCTTTGGTAGTTTGAGTCTGTGGTGGTCCATCGCAGCTGATGTTTGTCCCTGAACGTGTTAATTATGGAGCACCATTCCCTCTAATTTTCATCTGTTCGGGTGGGGGGCAGGGTTTAATTTGAAACCCAGAAGTAACAGGCATTGGCACCAGCTGCCACTGCACAGCACTGATGGAGCTCTGTGCGACGCACCTTATGGGGAACATTGATACAAAGTAAAATCAGATAACCTTTGTCAACCATATCAGAGTTCATTCGGGTATCAAGATATAAGTTATTTACTTGTTCCTGCCTGGCTTACCAAAAATGTAGCTTCCAAACTTGCCCTGTCTCTCTTCAGAGCATGAGAACAAACCATTGTTTTCTCTCATGACGAAGTAAACAGAGAAAAATGATTCCAGGCAACACTACCTAGTCTAATTCTATAAACTTTATTCATCTACATAGCTTCTATGCATAAAAATCCAAGAGTTGTTGAAAACACGTAACTTCTTGAGATCCTTATAGACACATTTCTGTTACACAGAAATCTGTTGTACAGCTATGAAAACTGTACAGCTTAGGTCCAGGCTACTTGAAGGATCATATCACCCTACATGAGGTTTCTTGACACGGATTTTCTGGGGAGGCCCTTCTCTCGGTTCCCGATACCTTGCCAAGCTCACTTAGTAAGGACACAAAATATAGCCTTCTTAGTGGCTGCTCCCAGGCTAATAAGGAATGCACTGCCCTGAGAAGCCAGGTTGGCCCTCTTCCTCTGGTCTTTCCATCATCAGGCACATACCTTCCTTCTAAGGCAGGCCTTTAGGTAGTAATTTATCTCATGAATGCCCTTTTTTAACTTACAGGGTTTTAATGTTTTTTTATTCTTGATTTTTAAAATCTTAATGTATGTTTAAGTGTGTCTTTCTCTCTCTCTCTCTCTCTCTCTCTGTGTGTGTATGTGAGAGAGAGAGAGAGAGAGAGAGAGGGCAGAAAGTGAGGAGGAATTAAAGAACCTCTTAATGAGGGTGAAAGAGGAGAGTGAAAAAAATGGTCTGAAGCTTAACCTAAAAAAAACTAAGATCATGGCCACTGGTCCCATCACCTCCTGGGAAATAGAAGGGGAAGATATGGAGACAGTGACATTTTACTTTCTTGGGCTCCATGATCACTGCAAATGGTGACAGCAGCCACAAAATCAAAAGAAACCTGCTTCTTGGGAGGAAAACGGTGACAAACCTAGACAGCATCTTAAAAAGCAGAGACATCACCTTGCCAACAAAGGTTCACATAGTCAAAGCTATGGTTTTTCCAGTAGTGATGTATGGAAGTGAGAGCTGGACCATAAAGAAAGCTGACCGCTGAAGAATTGATGCTTTTGAATTGTAGTGCCGGAGAAGACTCTTGAGAGTCCCCTGGACTACAAAGGGAACAAACCTATTCGTTCTAAAGGAAATCAACCCTGAGTGGTCACTGGAAGGACAGATCCTGAAGCTGAGGCTCCAATACATTGGCCAACTCACGAGAAGAGAAAACTCTCTGGAAAAGATCCTGATGTAGGGAAAATGTGGAGGCAAGAGGAGAAGGGGACGACAGAGATGGTTTGACAGTTTGATCAAAGCTACCAACATGAATTTGACCCAACTCCGGGAGGCAGTGGAAGACAGGAGGGCCTGGCATGCTCTGGTCCATGGAGTCACGAAGAGTCTGACACAACCTAACAGCTAAACAACAACAAATACAGTTGTGTTCAAAATTATTCATAAAATATCAGAGTTTTTAAAAGTAAAAATATATAAAAGTAGAAGCTTTTTCAAAGAAACTATTACATGTTATGAAAAATGCTCAGGTTTACAGAAATTACATGCTTCCCAATCAGAAGTTGTAATTTCCCTTCCTGTGTTCCTGCTTCTTTCCTCCTGGAACCTGTCATATTTTGCAGCTTCAGATTCTAAGAATAATTGCTGATGCTCGTTCATTTATATTCTTGTTCTCTAGCTTGTAGCAGGAAGTGTTGTGATGGCATTTGAAGAAGTGTGTCCAGAAAGAATAGATTTGATTCACAACAACTACCGAAAGCTCTGTAATCTGTTGGTTGATGTGGAAGAATGGGGCCAGGTTGTCATTATCCACATGTTGACTCGATACGCACGTACACAATTTGTGAGTCCTTGGAAAGAGGTGAGTAATTTTTTGAAATTTTTTTTGTGTGTTTCAGTTTTTCTAGAAACAGGTTTTCTAAAATTTTCTGGATTGTACACTAGTAACTTTGGATCAGTAATACATATGTGTATTTAATGCTTTGAAGTTGATAGTGAATAGAACTGTTAAGAAAGCAGTCTGACATCTCTCACTGCTGCTACTACTAAGACTTGATGGTTCTCCTCCTGAATGTTGAGTGGTACTGTTTTTAAATCCTTAAAAATACTGTTAGTGGTAGTTTTGTGTTTAAGGATTCCTTAGGCAAGACAAGAATTATTGCCCAGGTGATATCCTTGAAGGCCTCTTTATAGAGTTCATTCCCAGCAAGTCAGGATCCAAACCAATGTTGTAGATTTCTGCAAATTTATTTAGAACTCTTAATCCTGATAAGACAGAGGTGCTCCTTCTCATTTAAAAACTAAGTCAAGGAGTAGGGTTGCAGCCTATGCTGGATGGGGTTACAGTCCCTCTAAAACACAGGCACACAGCTTGGGAGAGCTGCTGAAATAATTTCTGAGCCTGGATGCCCAGGTTTCAGTGGTGGCCAGGAATGCCTTTGCACAGTTTAAACTAGTGTGCTGTTTCTTGAGAGTTTGGTCTGGCCATGGTGACGCATGCCCTAGTTACACCTTGGTTGGATTACTGTAACATGCTCTAGGTAGGTCTGCCTTTGGAAAATGTTCGGAAACTCCAAAAGGTGAACCAGTCAACTGTGGCTGGTTATAGGGAACATATAACTCCCCTGTTACAACAGCTCCACTGGTTGCTAACTCATTTCCAGGCAAAATTCAAAGTGCTGGTTTTAACTTATAAAGCCCTAAACGGCTTAGATCCAAGCTATCTAAAAGACTTCATCTCCCTCTATGAGCCTACCCTGGCATTAAGATAATCAGAGGAGGCTTTTCTTGTGGTCCCACCACCTTCACAGGTGGACTTTGTCAGGACATGTGAGAGAGCCTTCTCTGTTGCAGCTCCCAAACTCTGGAACTTTCTCCCACAGGAAGTTAGGCTGGCCTCATCTTTGTTGTCCTTCCACAGGCAGGCAAAGACCTTTCTCTTCAGGCAGGATTTTCAATGACTGATGGTCTGAGAGGAGTTTTAAATTGATTGTTGTCCTCTGTTGTTTAAATGTGCTCTAATATTCATCTTAGTTACCAGTTTAATATAATAAATGTTTAATTCTTTTAAAATATTTGTATACTTACTGCTTTTATCATTTAAATACTATTTTAATGATATAAGCTGCTTCGGGTCCTTTTGGGGAGAAAGGTGGGATACAACAAACAAACAAACACAGGTATTCCTAATTAGTGGTTGTAAGTAGTCATTTGTTATCAATGTAATCAATGAGATCCATGTTTCATTCTTAGACTGATAGAGGGGATAGGCTGACTAATTTCCAAGGTCTATTTCAAGTTTAAAATTCAGTGGCTCTAGTTAATATTTTGTGATTAAAACAAAGGAAAATTTTTATGCAACCAAGCAAGAGACAACAGAGAACAAAAAAGTCCTCTTAATTTTATTAAAGTTCTTGAATGTCATCAGAGATTGTACACCTTTGTTGCAGTATTGTTATGGAAATAAGTTTCATTAACTAGGGATTTGATCTGAATATATAAATTCATCAGCCAGATTTAAAAGGATTAAGGATTGGATGGAAAAGATACAAGGTAAGTAAAGATAAAGGTTCCCCTTGACATTTAGTCCATTTGTGTCCGACTCTAGGGCTTATCCCCGTTTCCAAGCCATAGAGCCAGTGTTTGTCCACAGACAGTTTCCGTGGTCACATGGCCAGCGCCGACTAGACACGGAACACCGTTACCTTCCCACCGAGGTGGTACTTATTTATCTACTCACATTTACATGCTTTCGAACTGCTAGGTTGGGAGGAGCTGGGACTAGCGACATGGATTCGATCTTGTGACTGCTGGTCTTCTGACCTTGCAACACAGAGGCTTCTGTGGTTTAACCCGCAGCGCCACTACGACCCCACAAGATACAAGAAATCCCCCAATAAGAGGGGATTTTATGGTTAAATATACTTCAACTAGAAAAATGGACACAGGATTGGAAAACGAAGGAAGGAATGTGAAAAAAATTGGCAAAGTTTAAGAAGAATATAGAAGAAAGACAGAAAAGGGAAATAATAAAAAATAGGAAAGGTATTGTAAATGAAATATATAAACTACTGGTATAGGCAAATATGAAACACACATAATTAAAGATTTATGACAGGAGGATTTGGGTAAAGAAATCAAAGGGGAAGAATGGAGCAAGATGTGGAATAAAAGTTTAATGAAATATATGTTAGTAAAAATTAAACTGCTGTAAGGTAATATAGAAATAGTATTTAACACCAGTTAAGTTAAACTCCGATATGCAGATGATACCACTCTGATGGCAGAAAGTGAGGAGGAATTAAGGAACCTTGTAATGAGGGTGAAAGAGGAGAGGGCAAAAAAACGGTCTGAAGCTCAACATCAAAAAAACTAAGATCATGGCCACTGGTCCCATCACCTCCTGGCAAATAGAAGGGGAAGATATGGAGGCAGTGACAGATTTTACTTTCTTGGGCTCCATGATCACTGCATATGTAGACAGCTGCCCTGAAATTAAAAGACGCCTGCCTCTTGGGAGGAAAGCAATGACAAACTTTGACAGCATCTTAAAAAGCAGAGACATCACCTTGCCAACAATAGTCCGCATAGTCAAAGCTATGGTTTTTCCTGTTGTGATGTATGGAAGTGAGAGCTGGACCATAAAGAAAGCAGACCGCCGAAGAATTGATGCTTTTGAACTGTGGTGTTGAAGGAGGCTCTTGAGAGTCCCCTGGACTGCAGGGAGAACAAGCATGTCAATTCTAAAGGAAATCAACCCTGAGTGGTCACTGGAAGGACAGATCCTGAAGCTAAGGCTAATACTTTGGCCATCTCATGAGAAGAGAAGACTCCTTGGAAAAGACCTTGATTTTAGGAAAGTGTGAAGGCAAGAGGAGAAGGGGACGACAGAGGATGAGATGGTTGGACAGTGTCGTTGAAGCAACCAATATGAATTTGACACAACTCCGGGAGGCAGTGGAAGATAGGAGGGCCTGGCGTGCTCTGGTCCATGTGGTCTCGAAGAGTCGGATAGGACTGAACAACTAAACGATGACGACAAGCTAAACACAGTAAACAAAATTCTATTTGTGTTGGATGTCTGAGAAAGATAAAGAGATATATTTGCATATGTTGTGGTTCTGCAAACCAGGAAGGAAAGAATTGAAAATTTTTAAGGAGATAAGGGAAATAATTGGGGTAGATATACAAATATCTTCAATGATTGCTTTATTGAATATGAGGGGTGCTGATAAGTATTAAGCCTTTCCCAGAAAAAATTGAGCTAGGAAGGTGTAACTGCCACACAACTCTACATATTCTCCCAGGAAGTCAGTGCACTTGCCACATCTGTCCTGCAGCTTCTTAAGTCCCTGCAAAAAAAATTCTTCTGACTGCTGGTGTAACCACTCATTTGCAGCGTTTGTTGCCTCCAGAACACTCTCAATTTTAATTGTATTTTAATTGTATTTTAATTGTATTTTAATTGTATTTTAATTGTATTTTAATTGTATTTTAATTGTATTTTAATTGTATTTTAATTGTATTTTAATTGTATTTTAATTGTATTTTAATTGTATTTTAATTGTATTTTAATTGTATTTTAATTGTATTTTAATTGTATTTTAATTGTATTTTAATTGTATTTTAATTGTATTTTAATTGTATTTTAATTGTATTTTAATTGTATTTTAATTGTATTTTAATTGTATTTTAATTGTATTTTAATTGTATTTTAATTGTATTTTAATTGTATTTTAATTGTATTTTAATTGTATTTTAATTGTATTTTAATTGTATTTTAATTGTATTTTAATTGTATTTTAATTGTATTTTAATTGTATTTTAATTGTATTTTAATTGTATTTTAATTGTATTTTAATTGTATTTTAATTGTATTTTAATTGTATTTTAATTGTATTTTAATTGTATTTTAATTGTATTTTAAT